GGCGCATTTGGGGGTAGGCGTGCCATACACCTGACGTTGCGAAGAAGTATGGAACCACTCGCAGATCGCCGCAGATTGGCGTGCCAATTGTACGAATGGCGACAGCATAGCCATCGTTGTACAATTTAATTCAGCCGTAGCTGCAAATCTTAAAAGATTTATTTGTTTAAAATCGCCAAATTGCGATTTTGGTTTTGTCACATACAGACTTACTGCCAACATAAGGGGAAAAGAATCCACACGTCCACCAAATGAGAGCAATATTGAGAGTGATTGGAACAATTCGCCTCCCCACACACTCAGCGAAAACCTCCGAAGAGACATACACCAAAATGTGAGAGGATCGCGAGTGCACCTCCTACTCTGCAATGCCGCTCAAATGGACAAACGCGAATGATAAATTCGAAACACAAAATGTCAGGCAGCACTTCCATATGCAACGGGTTTGTTTTTGCCACATTTTAGAGCGGATATCAGAGTGCAAAAGTCATGTTCATGGCGAGGGTGGAACAGTTGCAGCTGAGAATTGGCAGCAATAGACTAACTCACACTGAGCCCACCAAACAGGTGGAGGAACGCCGAGGCGTTAATCCACCTGCCAACCGGTCACCAGTACGAGTCATTCCAATTGCAACAAAGGCAAAAGCATACTACAGTTAAACCCCCACCCACTCCTTGACTATTGCACAACCGTTATCAGCAGAAAAATACTGGTTATAGAGAAATAATTGCCACTTTTCACTTGGCTGGCCGAGATTTCTTCATTTTAAGATTTTATAATTTTTGTGTCGGATTGACAAAGTTGCGCTTGTTGGTGATGAATTTGCGGGGAGATGTGCTGCTGTAGTATTTATGAATGGAATGATCTTGACCTTGAGAAATATGCGAATGCGTTTATGAATGAAATAGTTATTGTTGTATTTGAGTATACGTGTAATTATGTGCATATATATGTATGTATGCTGCCGTGATTTGTACATATGTACATTTATATGCATGTTCGTAGTTTTTTTGGCAGTAATATGCACATACATATATATGCATGCAAAAACGTTATCAATTAATGGAGCATGTACATACGTATGCGTAGAAAATGCATTTTCATTTGACTCCAAAACTATTGGGGCATATTAGTAGACGAAATAAAGTCGACTCTTAAGTTAAAGTTTGTCAGCCCCAAATAAGAAGAAAGTTAGTATGTACTTACATATATGTAATATTATGTGCATGTGCAAGAACGTTATCAATAAATGATTTTGGAGTATGTGTATTGGGTACATATGTACATATGTAAGTATGTACATACATATATACATTCAGATGCGATCAACTAATTAGCAACGAAATTCAATATGATATTGTTTGCAAATTATGTTTATTTATTTTTAATGATTTTAATTTAAAATATAATTCAATCTGTAACAAGAACCACAATAATAAAAGTTTAAAAGCTTGCACAAATTGCAAAAAAACGAATCAAACTTAAAGAAATGGTCATCCAAATTTTTAATTAGAATATTTAAAAAAAAAAATTTCGGGTATGCAGTATTGTAGTCCATTCAATTATAGTATAAGAAAGTGCAAGTTTCAAGTTGTTAAAAATTACCATTGATTTTATAGATTTTTTTTTGTGGGGGTGTTGCTGTTTTTTTTTCATACAAAAAAAATTGTGATCATGTGTTATATGGAAGAAAATGCGAACACCCTCCACAAAAAAAATCTAAAAATTCAACGGTAATTTTTAATGACTAGAAACTTGCACTTTAGTGTACTTCATTGAATGGGCTACAAAGCTGCATACCCGAAAATTTTCTAAATTTCAAAATAAAAAAATTGAAATTTTGATAACAATTTTTTTTTGAAGTTTGA